CAGTCAGTTATTCTGCTTTCAGTCTGCAACCATCACATTATGAGAGACTCTCCAGCATTATCTCTTGATTTTATTGACTTAAATCCCTCCATCATTCACCTCTGCTCCCTCACAGCAGTGTAAACAGCAGCTGTGGAAGCCCACATTAATGCTGGAAGCAGCTGCATCACTATCTGTTCAGATGACTGAGAGGTGACTGTGGTTTTTACCAGCATACATCTGCATGCTGATGAGAGCAGCAGGAGACACTGCTGCAGCCTGTAAGCTCCTCTCAGCTGATGCCCCCCCTCTACTTCCAGGTCCATTAGTTAGGCTGATGGATGACACGGTTGAAGGCAAGTGACAGAGAATCTACTTTCCTGATGTTTTCCTGATCTGACTCTCTGCCTCCTCTAGTTCGACTGCAGGGTAACATGCTGACATGACAGTATGAAAACATGGTGTGCTGTACTAAGGTCTATTACAATATACAGTACTGGTGCTTTACCTCTTTTGTTCTTAAATGTAGTTGCTGTAATTGACCAAGATTTTCCTCTACACCAACATTAGCTGGATAAATGAAGAAATTAAGATCACACTCACTACTTACATCCTACTAAAGTGGTTCCTTTGAAAACCAGTTTATTTATATTTTTAAAATTCATTTTCTTTCATGATATATCTTAAGAGTACTTATGCAAATCTCTGATACATGGAAGGAAATTGTGTATTTTTCTATTTTTGTTCCACTGTTAGTTGTTCTTTTTATTAAAGAGCTGTGACTGCGGCCTGTGGTCTCCCAGACTCTTATTCACAGTTTATATCTTAGTCCATCTTTCATGGAGGCACCGAGGGAAAAAAATGACTGGATTTTAAAAACAATTTAAAAACTGTAATCACACCAACACTGTTTCAAGTCTCTGCCTATGACTGGACTGGAAGTGGGAAAAAGCAATACACTAAAGAAACAGCTGATTCCCATTTAAAAGTTTAAAACTTATGTGGAAGAAGCACATTCAAGTAGTCAGAATGAGACCTCCAGGGATGAGCAGTGCTGGAGCAGTCCAAAGGGACACAAGATCTGCACTATAGAGATGATATAATTATATTATATAATAATAACTATTATTTTTCTTTTTCAGTTTATCTAGAAAAAACAGCTGGCTCATTTGGGAGGGACTCAGAGTAGAGCTGCTACTCCTCCACATTGAAAGAGGCCAGCTGTGGTGGTTCAGACATTTGATTAGGAGTCCTCTTGGGGGTGAGGTGTTCCAGGTATGTCCTACAGGAAGGAGGAGGAGGACATGCCAGAGATAACATCTCTCAGCCTGGGAACACTTACGTAGGTCATTTTTATGCTCACTGCATCGCTTGTGTCACGTGATGCGTATATGTAAGAGACATAAAGACACACAGAGGAAGATGTTGCATCTGT